GCAGGGGAGAGGTTACCAAAACCTGAAAGAGGCAAGATGAGAGTGCACAAGATCAACAATGTCAACAAAGCGCTGGACTTCATCGCCAGCAAAGGAGTCAAACTGGTGTCCATCGGTGCAGAAGGTATACACACACACACACACACACACACACACACACACACACACACACACACACACACACTTACCTCTATATTTTCAAGCATATTCTGAAGATGACCAATATTTTCTTGCCCAGTCGAAATGCCACATCAGATGTAAAAGCCTCTGCATGTGTGTGTGTTTGGAAAATTGCGTGTGTGTTTGGGAAATTGTGACCTTTTGGATCCACCCTCATGTTGACGCAGTGACCGTCTCGGACAGATTGAGTCTGTGTTTCTGAACACTGTTTGAGTTATTAGTGTTTGCTCTGCATGCATTGCCTGCATTTGCATTGCTGCTGCTCAAACATTCTGGTCGGGGTTTATATTATTGGTGTCATTTTTGTCTGTGGACAGTGTGATCAATGTTTGAAGTGGATCAAATGTTTTGACAAGACAAGAATGGATGTTGTTCTATAGTTTTAGGACAACTTTGAAAGATTTTGAACCACTTCAAAGGTTGATAACTGTTTATATTTATATAGTATATGCAAGGTTAGCTAAAACTAAAACTTTTAAAATGTAATTTAAAAATTGTACTAACTGATCCAAAGTAAAATAAAACCAATTTTTTATTTGTGCTAGCTGTTTTTTCATTTAGTTTGTGTTAAAGCTGCGATATAAAAAGAATAACTTTATAGACGTAAACAAAAGTAGTAAAATGGCAAAAAAAAATAAATGACTAAAACAGAAAATAAAAATGGATAAAATATAATAATGACTGATGCATGGAAATAAAAATATTATAATTGCATTAGCATAAAACTAAAATAAAATTACAATATTGTAGACATAAAATGGCAAATATATTGATAAAACAGAAAATAAAGAAAAACAACGGTAAAAAAAATGCATAATTTATAATAACGCCCTGTTGCATGGCAAAAAATATATTGTCATTTTATTAGCGTAAATTAGCATAAAACTAAAATATAAAAATAAGACAAACATTTGTAGATAAATAACTAGTAAAATGGCAAAAATTAAATTGCCAAATCAAAAAATGATTTTAAAAAATGCATAAATTATAATAAAGCACTGATGCATGGAAATAAATATATTACAATTTTAATAGCATTGAACAAAGATGTAAAATGAGAGCTTTTTAGACAAACAAAACTAGTAAAATGGCAAAAAATAAATTGCTAACACAAAATGAAAATAGAAAAATAAATAATAAAGCAGAAAATGAAAATTAAATTTGCATAAATGGTAATAAATCACTGATGCATGGCAATAATTAGAATTTTATTAGCATTCAATAAGCATAAAACTATATATATATATATATATATATATATATATATATATATATATATATATAACTTTGTAGACAAACAAAGCAAGTATAATGGCTAAAAATAAATTACTAAAACAGAAAATGAAAATTAAATGATAAAAAATGCATAAATTGTAATAAAGCACTAATACATGGCAATAATTACATTATCATTTTTATAGCGTAAAACTAAGATATAAATAATAACTTTGAAGACAAAAGCAAAACTAGTAAAGTGGTGGAAGAAAACTGATAAAACGATTAATAAAGAAAAAAACAATTTGCATAAATTGTAATCAAGCACTGATGCATTGCAGTAAATATATTATAATTTTATTAGCATACAGTTAGCATAAAACTAAGATTTAAAAAAAAACTTTGTAGGCATAAACAAAACTAGTAAAATGGCAAAAAATAAATTACTAAAACAATAAATGAAAAATAATTTTAAAAATACTTAAATTATAATAAAGCCCTGATGCATGCTAATAAATATATTATAATTTATTAGCATACAATTAACATAAAACTAAGATATTAAAATAATAACTATATGGACAACTAAAGCTAGTAAAATGGCAAAAAAAATTAACATTACATAAAAATACTTTAATTTGCATAAATCATAATAAAGCACTGATGCATGGCAATACAAGACAAACAAAATTAGTGTAATGGTTAATGGCATAATTACTGAAACATTGCTAAAAATTCCATAAATGATAATAAAGCTCTTATGCATGTTAATACAATATAATGATTTTATTAGCACATGTTTATTATAGAATTTAGTTGAGGATTTTTTTGTGTGTGGGATTTTTTTATGTAGTTATGCTGGGAAGCACTTTGGTCAACAGCATTTATTAATGTGCTATAGAAATGAAATAGTTTTTATATTGTTTATACAATATAAAAATATCACTGTACCATACTTGTGAAGATTTATGCAATAAATATATATAAATACCATTTTTTTTAAATAAATATATTTTAAATATTTTAATTATTTAATTAATTCTTTTGTTTTTTTGTTTTTTGTTAAACAGAAAAATAAAGCAATTTTTTCCACTGTCAATATATAAACCTTTTTGGACATCTGTTTATAGAAATTGTGGATGGAAATGCCAAGATGACTTTGGGAATGATTTGGACCATCATCCTCCGCTTCGCCATCCAGGACATCTCAGTGGAAGGTATAATTTAACCTTCAGATCACTGTAGCGTTTACAGCAGCAGCAGCCGCTCTGCTCAGCATAATCAAACATACTCAGCAGAATGAATCCAAACAAACCTAATGAATGTTCTGCTCATCTCTTTTCAGAAACCTCCGCTAAAGAAGGCCTGTTGCTCTGGTGTCAGAGAAAGACGGCTCCTTACAAGAATGTCAACGTCCAGAACTTCCATATCAGGTTAGATGTACAGCTGAAGTCAGAATTATTAGCCTCCCTGTGTTTATTTTTTTCTCAAATATTTCCCAAATGATGTTTAACAGCAAAAAGTTTTCACAGTATTTCCTATAATATTTTTTCTTCTGGAGAAAGTATTACTTGCTTTATTTCAGCTAGAATAAAAGCAGTTTTTAATTTTTTAAAGCCATTTTAAGGTTAATTTACTAGCCTCTTTAAGCAATATTTGATTTCGATTTGTCTATAGAACAAACCACTGTTATACAATGACTTGCCTAATTACCCTAATCTGTCTAACGAACTTTAAGCCTTTAAATGTCACATTAAGCTGAATACTAGTATCTTGAAAAATATCTAGTTAAATACTATTTACTGTCATCATGACAAAGATAAAATAAATCAGTTATTAGAAATGAACTATTCAAACTATTATGTTCAGAAATGTGTTGAAAAAATCTGCTCTCTGTTAAACGGAAATGGCTTATTTCGCTTTTTATTGATTTGAAGCATTAAAAAGGTCAATCAAAGCAGCAAGTCTTAAATTTAGATTATCATGGCATTATTTGTTTGTCAATAGTTGTTTTTTTTTACTGATATAAGAAAACAGTGCAAAGCGCAAGTGTAATTTCTGTATTTTAGTATCATAATCATGATCTCTGACACCCTCAGAATGAGCTGTATTATTGCTCCATTCAGGATGTCATTCAGAGATGTGATTCTACCTTTTAATTACAGATTTACTCATTTATTTCATATGTTTGTGGGATGATGCAATCATATGTTAAGTACTATAATGTGCAAGATGACGCTAACAATATTTAAGATAATGATGACTTTTGCTTTGGAAGTTCATAAAGTTTTCTTAAGACTTAAGGGCTCTATTTTAATGATCTAGGTGCAAAAGTCTAAAGCACATGACACAAAAGCATTAAGGGCGTTTTTTAAGGGCGGAAAAATACAGTCTGCGCCCTGGCACATGGTTAAACAGGGTTTTCCCTAATGAGTTATATGAGTGTTTTGAGAATAAACCATTTAGAGTCTCATCTTCCATTCCCTTTAAGAGTGAGTTGCGTTGCGCCATGGTGCATTTGCTATTAAAATGGCAACTTTATAAGTTTAAAAACTGAACGGTTCACTAGCAAGAAAACAGTTCAACAGAGCAACAGAGGGAAAGAATGAGCCTCCTCCATTCAGCCTCTTTACTTTCTCTTTCACTTTCTCTCTTTTGTGGATAAGGAAACGGCATTAGCCTACATATTTTATTTAATTTGTTAAGCTCAAGGATTCATTTCAAAACTATTTCTGAACCCGGTTCTAAATTCCAATAAAGTAGTAAATGAACAATAAGAATGAAGTTAGGTCAAAAAACTGAATTATTTACAAACACACGTCCTGTTTTTATGCCCCATATGGTCCAACACTCAACTGGTGGACAAATCTAAACTTGTCTTTGTTAAAACAAATATAAACATGCATATAATATATAATACTACTAATTCTAAAATTATACCAAAGCTAGTTTTCATTAATAAAATGAAAAAAGTACACAATATTTTTGAGCATATTTTTAATATTATTATCATTATTATTATTATTATTATTATTATTATTATTATTAATAATAATATTAATATCATCATCGTCATCATCATTATTATTATCATTACTATTATTATTATTATTATTATTATTATTATCTTATTAATATCATCATTATTGTTATTATTGTTATTATTATTATTATTATTATTATTATTATTATTATTATTAATATTATCATCGTCATCATCATCATTATTATTATGATCATCATCATTATTATTATCATTATTATTATTACTATTACTGTTATTATTATTATTATTATTATTATTATTCATTTATTAATATCATTATTATTATTAATTTTCATTATTATTATTATCATTATTATTACCTTATTAATATCATCATCATTATTATTATTATTATTATTATTATTATCGTCATTATTTTATTATTATTATTATTATTATTATTATTATTATTATTTACTGATTGTGTTTTATTTACTGTTGTTGTTGTTGTTGTTAATAAGCTATGCCATTTATCATTTGGTTATTTAACTTTTTTATCATATTATTATCTTGTTATAAAAGTTTAAAAGGAAAAGGTGTAAAGTCTTTCGCTGTCTGTCATACCAAGCATTTATCGTTATATATATTTATATATAGGAAATCTTTATGAACAACTCTCAATGTGCCCTAGTATATGTAATTCTCAACATATTGCTGTACCCTTTTCCCTTCTATTTATTTTCTCCCTTAAATTCTTTAGTTGGTCTTAATGTAATTTAAAGTCTTAAATTTACTCTCATAAACCTGCAGACGATCTGTTGAGCCTTTTATTTGACTGCTCATTGCTCATAATCTCTTCATCAGGAGCTCATCCAGGGAGTGTTTCATGTGGTTTTTGGTTTGTTTATTCACTCAGCTGGCTTTTGCATGTACTGCTGTTAAGGATGCATTTGAATTAAACAAATGATCAATAATAGCTGAAGATCAGATAAAAGATTGCACTGTCGATTTCACAGTTGCTTTGCAAACTCATTTGTCAGCGTTTAAGTCTTGACATGAATGCAGAAATGAGGAGGTTATTCTGTGGTTTGAGTGCTGCCCTCTTCTGGATGAGATGAACATATGCACTGAACAATTCTCTATTTTCCCCCATCAACAGCTGGAAGGATGGTCTTGCCTTCAATGCTCTGATCCACAGACACAGACCAGAGCTCATCGATTACGACAAGCTGAGAAAGGTAAGAAAAAAAGCCCAAGTTTTTTAAAGATGTTAACAATCCGTGGGCTGATATTATTGCATAATATAAAAAGTAATACAAGTCCTCCCTATAGTGATGTATGTGTATAGTGAAACTGAATGAGGACAGATTTTGAGGGTGGGGCTTGAATTTGCTCTTAGGGAATTTATTGGATGGTTTTGGTTTGCTATTGGTGGATTTTAAAGGGTATCTATTATGCAAAAATCAAATTTTAAAGGGGTTTAAACAGTTGTGTGGCAATGTTGTGTGAATATAACCAGATTCTAATGGAAAAATTTATTAATTTTATTTTTTAAAGTCACACCTGATTAAAGCAGTCTGCAGAAACACATTCTCCTTTTGTATGTGTCATCAGAGGGGGAAAGCTCCGCCCACTAGTGACCATCCTACCTCATTAGCATAGACATCTCTGAGTGAGAAACAGCTATCTACCACTGTGCTGAGCATTTGTAGCTCCACCTTCTTTTGAAGGAAAAGAGCACAATCGCATTTGGATTTAAAGCGGCAGTCACCATAATATCACAATTAAAATCAAAGCCTAAACGGGTCAGATTCAAAGAGTTATAAGACATTATTTGTGTGGTGTTTTGAGCTGGAACTTCACAAACACACTATAGGAACATCAGAGACTTATTTTACATTTTGTAAAAAGGGGCATAATAGATCCACTTTAAGTAATTGACAGATTGATCCCGCCTTTATTCCACCAATCAGAGAAGAGATGTTGTCAAAGATGAAGGGAAGTTATTCCGATTGGAGTATGTGAGTTTGCATAAATAAAAAAAATGGTTTGTGTGAATCAATGATCACTTTTGGGTGTAATTGGCTACAAAATAATTAGTCATTGTTATTAAATTACTTATTTTCTGAGAAAATAAAGGGTTACTTGTCATTTTAAAGGTACTTTAAACCTCTAAAACAACACTCCTGTTTTTCCCGGCAGTCTCCCGTATTTTAGACTCATCTCCCGGCCCTCTCTCATATGGTTCTGTCCCCAGGAAAACTCCCCTCACCCCCCGCTTCACAGCTTTTTGGTACAGTTCTCATATGTGCCGAACCCAACACTCAACCATCTTCCCCCGCTCTTAACTTCACGTGTACCCCCCCACCCCCCAACCCTGCTATTCAACCCCTTTTAAAAATGAATATTTTGATCAGTTTCCCAGTGAATAAAGGCAATGTATTTTGGTGCATTTGAACAAAACTGATTTATTAAACACATATATTTATTAAAATAATATTTTAGTCATCAAACATAAATTGAAAGATAATTCAATTCAAAATTACAACCTACAAAATTTTACTTTTTTTTTTTTTTTTTTTTGCTTTTTTGTTATTTTTAAATTCATATTTAATATTTCTATAGCATATAAATGTGGGTGTTCTAGTTTTTGGACTGTTAACGTAAGTTATGTTGTTACATAAGCTCCAGATTTGGCTTCAGTACTGACTAATCAAGTCAAGTTGAGCTTCATTGTCATTCTGCTACATGTGTGGACATACAGAGGAGTGAAATGTCGTGTCTTGCAGGACAACGGTGCTACATAAATTAATCATGAATACAAACACAACACTGGAGCTATTTTTAAAAACTTACACATAGCTAACATATACTGAAAAATACTAACTATACACAAGACAGGCTATACGATTACACTAATGTTAATGCACATATATAATATCGTATAGCTTCCTATTAAAAATATGAATATAAAAGATAGATTTGTGAGGGGTGTACTTGTGTATGCTGATCACTGTATAATAATAATAATAATAATAATAATAATTTTGAGGTCATTTATCTGTGTTATCTGTCTAATGTAACTCGCTCAAAGTAATGTAACTCAATAATAAAATCAACATTATGCATGCCATGGCCATCACAGTGCTATTTGGAGAAATGTAACTCTAGCTTTTGTGATATAAATCTAATTATATCTTATCATTTTTTACTTACATGAAATCTGTCTAAATTTTAACCGGATTCCAACAGACTTCAATGCTGTCAATGCTTTTGGTCTCTGAAGATGTGTGGTTTTGGTGTGGAGACATTAACAAACAGGCTTTATACTGAAGCACAGAGGTTTTGCTAATGCATTTATCCAGCGACCACAGTAATCAAATTAGCCAAATGATTTAATAATCAAACATGCAGTGGTTGAATGACAAGTAGATCTTGCCGGATGATAAATGGGGTTGATGTTTTGGATATTTAAAGATTTATTTCAGACACTGTCCTTAAGCTCATGTTTTATTACTGTTTTACCAGGATGACCCAGTGACCAATCTGAACAATGCTTTCGAAGTGGCAGAGCGATACCTGGACATCCCCAAGATGTTGGATGCTGAGGGTACACACTTTTATTTGTTTTTTTCTGTGTGTGTGTGTGTGTGCGTGTGTGTGTGTGCGTGTGTGTGTGTGCGTGTGTGCGTGTGTGTGTGCGTGTGTGTGTGTGTGTGTGCGCGCGTGTGCATGTTGCAAATCTATTATTACTTGTGTACCTGTGTATCAAGTGCATCATGCATGCTTTTGGTTGCAGTTTGATGTGTGTGTGCGTGCATTTGTGTCCGCATGTATGTGTGCGCATGCGAGGTGATAGAGTAAGTAAACGTTTCCTAAAGTGTGTGTGAACTGTAAAAACATCCATAAATGAACAGTTTTCTGTATGGTGAGATTTGTTTTTATTTTATTTATGCTTTTGTGAGGACTTCAATCTTTCCTCAAACTAATTTGAACATTGATAAGTTTAAAAAAGTGACTTTTAGTGACATTTCTAATAGTTTGAGGTGATATATTGTGCCTGTTGGTGTTGTAAATTACTGTAAAACCTGTTAATAAACTGCTAGTACTGTTTATTATGCTCTATTTTAGACTTATTTCTATATATTTAATTTCTTACACAATATATTATTACAAACTACTAAAAGATCACTAAAAGTCACTTTGTTAAACTGCATTGTTACATTTTCAGCATCAGAAATCAACTGAGCAGAGGTCAAGCTCCTATATGCAATTCATAACCATAAATAAACGGAGCTCAACTGTAAATCATGGCGTAAGGAAGTTGTTAATTAATGGATGTTTTTACAGTCTGTGTGTTTAGTGCGTGTCAGCACATGCCCTGTATTTCCAGGAGTTGTTCTTGGTCTCCAGCACACAGACAGTGCAAACGCCCACACTTTATGTCCTCCACAAACACTGTCACCATGGCAGCGTGTTGTTTCTCCTTCAGGCGTGATCTGTCCATGTCGCTGTTCAACCTGCTGCGTCAGAGCATGCTTTAATATAATTTATATATATATGTGTGTTTGTGTGTTGTTCTGAATCCAAATTGATTCTAAGTTGTGTTAAATTAAATGATTAGTATTGAATTCAATTAGTGCTAAAATAATAAAATAGACTTATACAGTTGAATATATATATATATATATATATATATATATATATATATATGTGTGTGTATATATATATAT